TAGAGAGAAAGAGAGAGAGAGAGAGAGAGAGAGAGAGAGAGAGAGAGAGAGAGAAAGAGAGAGATTTAGAGAGAAAGAGAGGCGGAGATGAGTCTTTCCCGCGGGGGTATATAGCGCCGGAGGGAAGACAAGAAGTTGATGTTCTTGTTTGTTTGGTTGCAGGAGTTGATGGGTGTGGATGAGCGGGTGTTTGCGTGCATGTACTGCGGTGCCTCGTTCCTCCACCAGAGCAAGCTGACGCGGCACATCCTCTCGCACAGCCTCGAGTCGCTCAAGTACCGCGAGCAGGCGGCCCACCTGCAGCTGCAGGCTCAGCTGGGCCTCGAACCCGGCATGCACCTGCCGCCGGAGGCCCACTACCCTGCTGCGGGTACGATTGAGCCGATGGACTTCGAACTCGCGGCCCACTCGGACCCGACCTCCGGCGTCGTCCTCTGCAAGTTCTGCGGCAAGTCCTTCCCGGACGTCGGCTCGCTGATTGCCCACCTACCGGCGCATACCGGCGACCGACCGTTCAAGTGCGAGTTCTGCGGTAAGGCGTTTAAGCTGCGCCATCATATGAAGGACCATTGTCGTGTGCATACCGGCGAACGGCCATTCCGGTGTACGCTGTGTGGCAAGACCTTTTCGAGGTCGACGATACTCAAGGCCCACGAAAAGACACATTATCCTAAATATGTGCGCAAGTTCCTGTCCCCGAGTCCCGTGGACCCCTCCGAGGAAGAGGCCCCACCGCCGCCACCGCCGCATCATTGAGTTCGCCTTAGCCTCAGCAGCAAAGACCGCCGCCGCCGCCGCCATGCCGCCGCATCACCACCACCACCACCACTACCACCACCACCACCACCACCACCACCACCACCACCACCACCGTTGATGACGATGACGACGATGTTGACGACGATCACCGTACGGGACGCTCTGCTGATCCACGACGCATCCACGTTGTCGTCGTCGCCGATCGCGCGAACGGACAGGCGACGACAACGATGGTACCGTCCCCGCTTCCGGTGCCGCCGCCGTCGCCGCCGTTGCCGCGACGTGTCCCTTCGACATCGTTCCGCAACCACACATTCTATCCTACTCCCGCTCTGCACGCTCCCCAATTCTCCATCAGTACCACTCATCTCCTCTCGCCCACCTGCTGATCGCGCGCGTCGCGACGCGCGACTCCCCGCGTCAACGGTTCCATAATTGAGCGACGGAGCAAGAAGCCGGCGGTGTGTTTCTAGTTAGTCCTGTGATTTTGGTTAGGATGGTTGGTAAACGCGTGTTCAGGGGGAGGGACACGTTAATAACGAGCTCCCTCGTTTAATCAGTGCTTTAAGACGAAACGTTTAGCTTATTATATACATATATAAATATATATATATATAGATATATATATTATAAATTATACGTATATATATATCGATAAATTATTAAAGGTATATATATACATATATACACATACACACACACATACACACAACACAAGCACACACGTACATACATATACGAGCGACATGGGGATAGTTAAAGAAAAGTTAAGAGAGGGTGGGAGAAATGGACAAAGCGACACGGAACGAGAAGGGTAAACAGGGAGGGAGCGAGAGGGGAAAATTTGAGCCGCCACGGTTGGTGCTTTTAAGAGATTTTGATAAAATGCTGTGAATATTATATTGATTACGATTAACTATAAACTATTGTAATAATGTACTGACGTTGTACGATGTACGATGCGACTGTTGTTGATATGATTGAGAATATTTTATACAGTTGACACGGGGGGTTGGGAATAGACCGCGTGCGCCGACGATAAAGACACGACCGGAAGTTGGTGGCAGGGTAGAGAGGGAGAGGGAATCGGAAGAGGGTAGACCGGAAACGTCCACTTAGTAAAATTCTACGCTGTGTAATTCGATTTGGTGGACATTTGCGGTTTATAAATTCGTAACAGGAAAAAGTGAGAGAGAGTGAGAGAGAAAGAGAGAAAATTTATTACGAGTGCGCTGGTAATTAGTGGCCTCTTCGATTAACTTTTGTTCCTCATTTTTCTTCAAGATGACATCACCTTTCTTCGCGAGTCGTCAGTTAATCATGGACACATCTGACCTGCGAACGACGCAAACGGCATTGTGCACCGTAACGAGAACGCCGAGCGAATCCTCGTTCTGCGTGTGTCGAAAAGTCTTGCGTCCACAAAAACGCGCACTTTCCGTTGCGCGTTTTTCCGCGATTCGGAAAGAAATCGAGCACGCGATTTCCGCGTCGTGAGGTCTCTCGGACGCCGTTTCCGGCGCAACGCTTTCCGCTTGCAGATCGAAAATTGCAACGCGACGACGCGATGGCCATTGAGACAGTGCAATACCTGACTACGCGACATACTACTTCTTTTTTTTTTTATTCATAGTTTAATTCTTATTTAATGTTATATTTACGTTCTTAAGTAAGGTAGTTAGATAATTTGATCGCGCATTGAGACTCGATCTCCGGGCGACGTTCATCTTTCGTTCCACTTCGCGAGCTTATTTTTATTTATTTATAATCACCTCGGTCGAATGGGGAGACACAATGGACGGGCTCTCGGGAAAAAATACGACGATCTCACGTGGATTTCTTAGCGATACGATTCAACGGTATATCAAAGTTAAACGTGAGCGAATCAAGTACGATACCGCGATACCGCAAACCTCAACAGAGACGTAATACAAGATGTAATTCATGTTCCTTGAACATTTCTCCTGGAGTACCAAATCAAATTTTACAATTTATTAGCTTTTAATGAGAAATACCTCAATAATCAGCATAGGAACGTTTTCACTATTAATTCGTCGAAATTTCTCACTTTTTTTCCAATCCTTTACACAGAAAGAACAGTTTTGCTTAAGTATGTAAAAATTTTGCTAGATACAGATGTAACGATAATTTTGTTGGATCATCAAAATATTATAATTTATACGATAGAATGCTCAAGCTGATTACTAGAATGTCGAATCTTTTTTGCAGCATTATTATTTACTTGAACGTTGCATATTTATTTTCAACAGAATGATTTTCCAGCTATACTATATTTTAAGCTACTTCGACAAAACCGTTCTTTCGTGTATAATTTAAAGCAATAATAAAATCGATAGCAATTCGAAAACTTTTTAAAGAGGGGGGGCAACCATTTGATCATAACTCGCGGTTATCGCTCCATACGATTGCTGTCCTATATTTCATGTATATGCACAGAGATCCCCGACGTCCGAGTGATATGAGAACCAGTATTCGAGATACATACTTTTGTTTTCCTACTAGGTAAGGTAAGATAATTAGCGCGCACGCAAGTGGCCTGTGCGAGGCCTGTGTGGCAGACCGATGGCTTTTTTTTTTTTTTTCGGAAAACGAACGGAGCGACCATCGTCGACGGCAGCCGGCGCGGGTTCGATTCCTCGAAGGCGAAGGTACAAACGTAATTCCCATTGATTTCTCCCGCCCCCTTCGTCTCTCCACGGGATAATTTAATCCGGTGCGACACGCGAGTGTACACGCGGACGAAAAACAGCCGCATCTTTTCCTCGCGGATCCTCGAAAACGGTAAACACACTATCGTGGCCCCGGGAGAGGGGAGGGGGAGGGGGAGGAGGGGGAGCGATTGCATGCGATTACAGGCGAGCGGGCAACGAGGCTCTTTTCCCTGGCCTCTTCCTTTTAAGCGATTCGATGAGCGCATTGTATATTTAGCAGCCACTTACTTTCCATCGTCCTCCTTGCAAGGGCCTTTCCCCTTTCGCCCCGTCGAGCGAACAAAGTTGCTCGAAATCGATCGATCTCTGAAATATTCATCGCATTCCGTGCGCGGTGGTCTGCGGAACAGCAGCGAAGGAATCGCCTCGCGAAGAATTAGGGGAGGCATCGACAAGACCGAAACACGCGCGCAAAACCGATTTCGATCATCTTTGAATCGCCGCAAGTAGATAACGGCGGTCTCTTAATAATTGACCTTAGAATGCGAAAACCGTCGTGTCCGATAGACGCGTAAAAATACCTCGGGAAAGTGCAGTTATCTCGATCCGCGTCCTGCGTCGCGTGCGAGAAGGGTAGTTTCACTCGAAATAAATTTTACACCGTGCTACTCTTTTATGATGACTTAATTTTAATTTGGCTTTAAATTTCAGCCAAAACTATCTCTTTTAATTATTAGATGTTATTATTGGACGTTATTCTTAATTTATTGGAGGACACATGAGAATCTAAAATTATTACATATGTTCCTAATTTAATATCGTACGTTTTTAGCAGCGTACGCTGGGCGTACATATTTTACTTGTCTTTAATATCGTATATGGTGTGCAATGCGACGCGCAGTGCGCAATCGGTATAGCGAAATGATTTTATTTAAAGCTGTGATGACTATACGAATTTGTTTTTATTCATCGCGTTTTATTCTCCCACGAATATCGTTCGCTTTTCTCTTCATTTTGAAATCGGCGCGTCTACGTCTCCAATGGTGGTTACGATCTCTGCGATTTCTGTGATATCTCGCGACTGCATCGGCTATTTTATTAGCGCGCAATGCACTTGTCACTTATCGTTTTACATTCCATCGCTCTGTCTTAGTTTTTAATCTCGGAGATATATAAGATGCGTCTCTCGTTTTTCGACTACTCTCGATATACACGCGTGTGATTTAATTGTGATCTCTCGAGCGGCATTAAACTTAATCTATACGTTAACACTCGGCCGTTCAATTCCGAGTTATTAAAAAAAAAAAAAAAAAACATTGTGTTTGCCTTAATAAAAACGCGCATTTGACTTTCGATCTGCGTTTGCTTCACTTAAATCCTACGAACGCGCAGCACGATACACCCTTGGGAGACATAGACGCGAACGGAAGTTTATATTCAAGGTAAAATACTTCCGTTATTTTAAGTAGAAATTTTATTCTGTTGTACACAAATATAAATCTTTGATTATTTATTTGAAATCGAACACACAAGCGTGATTTATTTTGCACCCATGTAAACAAAAAGGTAGTATTTAAAGTACTGCGCGCGTCTATCGCGCGAATTAATTTGTTTCGACGGACAGAAGGATGAGAGTTTCATTCTACCAGCGATATACAAGTCCCGCCGGTCTCGAGAGCGCGTAGCTTTAATTAGAATATTCGTCCGGCAAATCGGCATTCCTCTGAAAACGGGATTTTAATTAATATTTACGAGTGACGGTGCCGTTAATGACTGGCAACCGAGAGGGTACATTGAAATGAAAGTCCTGCCGCGATTTTGAACGAGCCTGATTAGAGTTGGCGTTTGGCAAATGGATCATAAAGTTTCCAAATACCGTATCAAAAATGCTGTCAGCGGGTTGTAAATTCCGGAATACGATTAATTAAATCCTCGCGTAACACACGGCATTGCACAACGGACAGCGGCGCGGTCCGTCCGTCTATCCGCTCGCGGTATTAAAATAATGATATCGCGAATTAAACATACGGCTGGCTCTCTCTCTCCATAAACTCGTAACTCTGTATTCGAGACTCGAATACATCTCTATCGTACGATTTGCAAGTTCTTCGTGTCCCCGGCATCATTCCGCATTCACATATTCGTTCATTAACTTATTCGTATTTCGCAACGTAAATTGAATCTGCCCAAACAGAATGGAAGTCTCTCGTGTATTTTTATCGTGTATTTTAGCAACCGCTAACCGATAAATGAAGAGGACAACAGAAATCGGAATTATTCTAATCGATCAATTCTTACAAAACAAGTAAAATGTCAAGATTTCATTTAACGCGCTCTCTTTTACAGGAAATCTCGCTCCAAAGAGT